GGGGGGGGGGGGGGGGGGGGGGGGTTCTCATCTCTCTAAAGTCATTTGATATGGGGAATTATTAATATAAGCTGTCTTATGCATTAATTGAATCAGAACGACAGACAGTAATAAAGTACTACTCATATATTTATTGCGATCAGATGATTTTACTATAGATAGAATTATTCTTACGAGCAGCTGAGAAATTCCAAGACCACGTGCTGTATTAATAAATAGATGTCTCCCCAATATGTTGACTTGTACCCTAAGATAGAGGCTCAGCATAGTCATTGACCAAAGAGATGACACCAATTTTGTAAAACCTGGAAAACACACACAGATCATAAATACAGAAACAACAATTTATTTGAGAAATTTAAGAGGAACAAAAACTTATGCAATGTACAACACAAGAAAGAAAAAGTGTTGATCCATACTCAGACATTTGAGTCTATCCCACAACTCATGTTTCTCGTTCGCAGTTAAAGTGTTCGGTTGACCCTTCCCTTGCATTAATCTATCCAACAAGAGCGTAAGGTCCAAGTTCTCGGCTAATCGCTTATCTAATGTATCCATTACTTTTGGAAGTATTATGGAATCCATTGTTCGCTGAATGTTCTCAAAATGAGTTCGGACTCTGTGAATCAGAAAACAGAGTAAACAATAAACCATGAGCACTGAGTTTCATCAAAAGAAACGACGTAAAATAAGAGGGTCAGCCATTCTTAACTGGGCTTTAAGGAGTTCACCCTCTTCCTTATCATCCGCGAGTTGTTTCTTGAGATCACCGATCCTACGCCTCCAAGCATCGTAGGATTTGAACAGTAGATACCCACTCCCACAAACCCCAAGTGTAATATACACTTTTCTCTTATGTCTCCTCCAAAATTCCCTATCATTAAACCAGAAACACAACATATTCAAATATCAAAAGCTTAACTGCAAATATAGAACTAAAAAAAAAAAAAAGGTAAGTCATAAAGAGTACATTATTGAGCATAAATAAAGCCCCTTCCAGTAAAATCATTTAGGAAAACAGACAAACGGTACGAGCTATTTGAGACACAAGCAACAGCTAATTCCAGGTAAAATCACATTTTTTTATGTATAATTGCATACATGGTTCACCGGAACGCAGCTATAGCGGCCGGAATGGGTTAATGGAACCGGAACGGAGGCCACCGCGACAAAGTTCAGGCATATAGCGGCTGGAGTGTTCCAGAATCTAAAAAAAGCAATTAATCCGCCGGAGCGGCAATATATGCGGCGATTTATCGGACGGATTCCGGCGGTGTTCGTGGTGTAACTGTGTTCTTCGAGGCGGCGGAAATGGATTGGGGCTGGTGACGCCGACAATTCTATATTAGTTCTGATTTGGGCAGGGTCGATTGCAAGAATACAAATCTTAGTAAGGTCACTTAAGTTTTCAAATGTTTCAACTTAGTCCCTATATTTTATGATTCTATTCAAATAAAGATATATATTCACAACTTACACTTTAACGGGGCAAAATTCTTTTAGGGTTGTTTTTAAAAGATGTACACACAATAGGGCTTCAAAATTTAAATAGACAAGATTCGATTTACATACAGTTCAAACAAATGAAATTTGATACCCTTTCATTTCTTTGTAATTTCGTTCATATTTTATTTCCCAACTCATCTCGACATTGACTTGCTTGAACCGGTCTAAGCAATAGAGGCACTACAAGGTTCATGATGCAGAACCCGTCTGATTCATCCTATTGCTCCGGCTCATTCGAAATAACTATCTTCTCAATAAATGTAAAAATCCTAACGAATCCCTAATCTTAGATTTTTTGTTTGCCTATACACAACAAAATTTCATAGTACAAAAGAAAAGGGACTTCAGTTATTCTAGTTAATCTAGAACATAAGATTCAACCCTTAAATCTTTTGAAATTTTATAAGTGGAAATTACTCTTTTATCATTCAATGAGTATCTTGTATTTTATAAAAATTGGGGGCAATATAATCCTTACATAAGGGCCATTATATCCAACTTTCAAGCATTAAGATACGTTTCAAGTGCAGATGATTACCATAAGAAATTCCTAACATATCATAAGATTCTCGTTCTCGAACTCGATGTTTTTCCTTAACCAGGGAATAGAAGGAATTCTAGGATTTCTCCTTGAGGCAAATACTTTTATGCATACCTCTTTTGGCCGGTTGATCCACACCATACTCTATTCTGGTAAGATGATACACAGTAGCTAACAGTCCACCAGGTGCTACATCATAGGCACATTTGGAACTTAGATAATTGTAACCATATACATATAAATTGACAACAATGGAATGCCAATCCTCGGGCTTTATTTGTAAGTCTTTATTCCTTGATAATCAAAGCCCAAAGATCTATGAATTATCTCGTGCTTGATTTTTCAGGAGTGTCAACAAATTGGGGCTTGTCGCCACGTGGCATGGCGACTTCATGACATGTCGCTTCAGTCAACGGGCACTTCAGCCACGTCATTTTTTTATTCGAATTTTCAGCATTTTTTTATCTTTAAAAAAAGTAGAAAACAAATATAATGGCATATTTTTTTGTTAGCCTATTGCATATTTATAAGCATGTAAAATTCTCAATCATCAAATTAACGCAATAAAACACAACTTTAAAAATACGTTAACAATAATAAAGTGAGTTTTACCAAATAAAATAGTCATACAAAATAAATATCGCCAAAACAATAATAAAAGAAGCTGTATAAAAAGAGTCATAAAACGTTACTGCCTATGTCCACCAGTCCCACATGTAGGTGGTAGTCTAGTCCTCCGATGCCTACCATCTCGTCGAACGTCACGCTCTACTGGTATGTCATCAACAAGTTGGTGTCATCCGCTGGATATTGAACAAGGAAAACATTATACTGTAGTCGCACCCGCTCTTGGGGATTTGAGTATCCCAAGTTGAGCTCCAAATGTGGACCCCATGAAGTGAAGTAAGTATCAATAGCAGGAGGATATGGGGTAACTAGAGAATTGGACTATGGCGTATCTGTAACGTAATCATTCATAGATGGCACAACTAAATCTCTAAAACTAGGTACCTGAGATGTAGACGGACCGAACATATCGCATACATTCATGTGTAGTAGATAAATCATTCATAAATCCATGATGTACCTTATTGGACCGGCCCAATAACTCAATTAATATGTGGGTCATTTAAGGCCCAATCCATCTACAAGGTGATTAACTAATGGCCCAATTTCACAAGATCTTACAAGTCCATTAGGATTTACTAATCTTACTTAGAGTTCTACTCTAATACGGGTTCTACTAATTACACTATAAATAAACCATCTACCTCACTTTACAAGATACGTTATATTCTCAAGTTCTGATCGATACCCAGAACTCTATTGTTCTACCTGCCTGTCTACATGCCTAGACATTTATCTGACTTTAGCGTCGGAGGGGTTTCCGCCGGATCAACCCCGGCTTAGTTCACGTGTCTTAGTCTTGCAGGATTGAGATTCAGGTGTTCCTCTTTACGCGGCAGGAACTCCGACCAAGATCACCTACTCGCGTGCAGTGACCTACCCTCGTGTTCCCGTTTAATCCACCCAAGGTGAGTGATACAACATCATTCTCGCGTTGTTTGTGGGAATGCAACCTAGATCGCGAAGTAAACAAGGTGACCAGGAGAACCCCTACCCTCCGATGACGATCTCAGATCTACATATGTTCCATCTATCAGAGTCCACCTACCTGAGTCTACCCACCAATATGAGGTCTCTAATACCGCAATAACTTGGGTCACCCTCACCATGACTTTATGGATCACTCTCTCCAAGGCTTTGGTAGCGCCCAAAAAAAATAAAAAAATGTCACCAGCACCGCCACATGCAGACGCCACCTCTTTCTCTCCACCCGCGGCGCTCGACCCTCCCATGTCTCCACGTCGCTGGTGCCGCTCACAAGCCTTAGTGCGCCCTCGCTAGCGGTGCCGACAAAGCCCTCAATCGCGCTGCTAACGCCAATCCCATCTCAAGGGATGGACATCTCGTTCCAAAGGCTGGACATCCCATTCCAAAGGCTGGACATCCCCCCATCTCTCCTAAAGGTCTGGGCATCCCATCTCAAAGGTTGGACATCCCATCCCAAGGCTGGACATCCCTCATCTCTCCACTTTAAGGTTAGGGATCGCATCTGAAGGGCTAGACATCTCCTCATCTCTTCTCAAGGGCTGGGTATCTCATCTCAAGGGCAGGACATCCAATCCCAAGGCTGGACATACCCTCATCTCTCCTCAAGGGCAGGACATCCTATCTGAAAGGCTGGACATCCCATTATCTCTACACCCTAAGGTTGGGCATCCCATCTCAAGGGTTGGACATCCCATCTCAAAGGCTGGACATCTCATCCCAAGGCTGGACTTCTCCTCATCTCTTCACCCTAGGGTTGGACATTACATCTCAAGGACTGGACATCCCACTCAAGCGTTGGACATCCTCTCGCATGTCTAGCTCAATTAGGCCACCAGCCCCACCCTCGTATCTACCCGCAGCGAGACAACTCATACGTGCAGACAACTCGGTCGGTGCTACCACATCGCTGCCACACAACTCCTACGAGGAGTCAACTCCCTCGGTGCTACGAACCGCTGTGCGACAACTCCCACGAGGAAAATCGCTCGGTACTACGACTCTGCTGCGAGACAACTCCCACGAGGAGACTCGCTCGGTACCACGACTCCGCTGCAAGACAACTCCCACGAGGAGACTCGCTCGGTACTACGACTCTGCTGGGAGACAACTCTTACGAGGAGACTCGCTCCGTACCACGACTCTGGTGCGAGAGAACTCCCACGAGGAGACTCCCTCGGTACTACGACTCCACTGCGAGACAACTCCTACGAGGAGACTCGCTCGGTACCACGACTCTGCTGTGAGACAACTGTCACGAGGAGACTTGCTCGGTACCACAACTCCACTGCGAGACAACTCCCACGAGGAGACTCGCTCGGTACCACGACTCAGCTGCGAGATAACTCCCACGAGGAAACTCGTTCGGTACCACGACTCCGCTGTGAGACAACTCCGACGAGGAGACTCTCTCCGTACGACGACTCCGCTGCGAGACAACTCCCACGAGGAGACTCGCTCGGTACCACGAATCCACTGGGAGACAACTCCCACGAGGAGACTCGCTCGGTACCACGAATCCACTGTGAGACAACTCCCACGAGGAGACTCGCTCGGTACTACGACTCCGCTGCGGGACAACTCCCACGAGGAGACTCGCTCGGTACCATGATTCCACAGCGAGACAATTCCCACGAGGAGACTCGCTCGGTACTACGACTCCGCTACGAGACAACTCCCACGAGAAGACTTTCTCGGCCTACTACCACGTTGGGAGACAACTCCCACGAGGAGACAACTCGCTCAGTACTACGACCCCACTGCAAGACAATCTCCTACAAGGAGATAACTTGTTTGGTACTACGACATCGCGGTGTGACAACTCCCACGAGGCGACAACTCACTCCGGCACTCTATCCACCTACTCTCCTCCCCTGCCACCAACTGCTCTAGTCACTCCTAGCGCCACCTCGAAGATGCATGGAACCAGCCCCATCTAGCGTTGCCAGCCACCTAGTGCGCCACTCAACCCGCACCGCCGTTCACCCCCCTCCGCGCCCTGCATTGCACCTCGCGTCGTCCGCGCAGAGGCCCACTGTTAGGAATCGGACACATGTACACAGCGGAAAACAAAAATTTTATTCGAATTTAACGAATTTAAAACACATAAACACAGGCCCGGTAATTGAAAATAATTAATTGCGTACCTTTGCGCTTCCAGCGAAATTAAAAACAACATACATGCTTAATAATTCAACCGAATTTAAATCAATTAGCATGCTCGCGTTTAAATCAAATAATCATGCTCGCAATAAATAAAAAATTTCATGTAGTCACATAAAATCATACAAGTTTCATACTAGAACGAACATATATATTCAATTTAAATGTAATCGAATCTAACGACAATGGATTCGAAAATTTACCTCTTAAAGCGTGAGGCAGGCGCACTATGCAAAGCTATATTGCCACTGAAACCAATCCGTGCAATCCAGGGCAGCAATGGCGAAACGGCAGCAGCTACTAGAAGAGTTGCGGCGGTGCGTGGGATTGCGTGCGGCATCGGCTCGTGTGCTGCTCCTCGATTCTTCGATCTTCGATCTTCCTCCTCTCGGATTTCACCTCGTATACTTCAATCGACTAAACACGTGGCACTAGACACGTAATAGTTAGAAAAACGGAAGAATAGAAAGAAGGAAAAAGCTACCAATGCGAATCGGCCAAGAGATGGCCGATTCCGGCAAGATTCCGGCGACAACGGCGGTGGTGGCCGCGGGGGGA